GTCTCGCGCGCTTGACGACTTGTTGAAATCTATGGGAATCAAACATGAGTCATCATCCGCCGGAAACCAATGGCAAAACGGTGTCGCCGAACGGGCGCATCGTACCTTGATGGAAATGGCTCTGGCCATGCTCGCCCACGCCAACATGCCCAATCGTTGGTGGGCAGAAGCCGTCAACACGGCGGCCTTCATATGCAATCGTGTCCTGCAAACAACTAAGTGCGTCAAAACACCACTTGAATTGTTTTGCGGCCAAGTACCCACACTCAATTACATGCGGGTCTTCGGCTGCAAGTGCTTCAAACTGGTGAAGCAACCCGAACGCCGCAACAAGCTCGCCCCCAAGGCGACGCTGTGCATCATGATGGGCTACATGGATAGCATGAAAGCCTACAAGCTATACGATGTAGAGGAACACAAAATGACTCATGGAGTACATGTTACCTTCATGGAGTCAGAATTCTTCGGTGACTCGTCGCTCCCGGACTCTATCGACGACGGCGACGACGACGACGATGCTAACACGACACCCAACTCAGGCGGTCACACGACCACGCTCGTTCATCGCGCCATCCAAGCGGCGCCTACGTACTTCGAGTCAGCGGTCAACACCGTTCGACGCGTTGTGGACAATGCGGTCGACGCCATCCTACCAGCTGATACGCCTGACGATACCCCACCGGCCCATCTGTCTCCCACTACGGCGCCTCGTCGCCTCGTCAACCCTACACCACACCATAGCACGCGTTCGACAACATCGCACTTCCGCCAGGCACCCACAACCGCGCCGGCGGCAGCAAACACATCATCGGCTTCCACACGACCATCATACTTTAAACCACCCCATATGCGCTCGGGTCCCAACGACACCGGCCGATTCAAACACCCGGACCAGTTCCGGAACGAAATGAACGCAGCGCGCCGCCAAGCACTCGCGGCATCACCTTCTTTCGCCACCCCAAGCCCCGATCCGTCGCGCCACCTCGCCTTCGACAGCGAACATCCCTTACCCAAGCGCATACCACGTACCCCACACAGCTCAAGTCACTGGGCAGCGCATCGA